AGGACCTTACTTGTATGAGGTCCAGAGAAAGTCCAGTCTGTATACTGACAGGGCCAGGTGTTTTGAAAATTTCACATAAATAAGATACTTTAAACAAACCTGTTTTAAAGACTGCTGGCTCTTTTTACTTCAACTTTCTCTTGATCTGTAATTTTCCTTCTGTTAGATGATGTTGGAGTAGACATGGGGGTTTTGGGGAACTGCCCGAGGGAAAGTTAGGTGGGGATCCATTTAGTTTGGGTTCAGTGTGATGTGTATATGTGGTTTGCAATCATGGCATGTTTATTTTATTAGGCTTAGTCAACTAGCTGTCCTAGCATACAAAGCATTTCCAGGATTATTCCTATTTCCCATTGTTCTGATTTCCCAGCACTGATGTACCACCAGAGGTCATGTCCCAGTATGAATGTGTCTTCCAGCACTACATACCAGTAGCAGGAAGAAAAGAAAAAAAAAATATATATATATATATGTGGAATGTAGAAATCCAGACGCTAGTGTGTGGAAATTCTTTCCAGTCATGAGATCTACAAAATTTTAAGCAGGGGATTTGGTTTGAAGTTCTCTCCTGCCAGGATTGGCTAATGAAGTAAATACAGTTATAATTGTGCCATGTGCTCTTCCCTTACCAATGGAATGGCGTATCTGCTAAATCTCAGGTAATTTTAGTTGCAGTTTGGAACATGTCAATAAAACACGGGTTTGACTATATGTGAAAGATACCTTCCCTGTCATCACTAAATGATTTTTTAGCATGTTTAACCATGACTGTGGCTGATGGTATGGGAGACCCTGGTGTTGAGAGAAACTGAGGAGGTACAGAAGCTGGATCTGATACTCTGGGAACAACATCAGGCTTAGGAGGAGAAGGAGGGGTGCACCAAACAGGAAATGTGAGAACTACTGAAGATGAGGACCAGGACTGCACAAGACAGAGGTTTTCAAATTAAAATCTCAAAAACACTTATTTCACCTTAGAACTGAAATGCCCCTCTTATATATGTATGTTTGGTGTTTTCTCAACTTCCAGGAACAAGAAAATAAATGAAATAAAAACCCAATAGAATGTGAAACAAAAATAATAAGGTGAACATTGAAATTGAGAAATTATTTTCCTATTATGAAAGAAATTATAGAGGGCTGGCACTGTGGGGTAGCAGGTAAAGCTTCTGTCTGCAGCACTGGCATCCCATATGGGCACCAGTTCAAGTCCCAGCTGCTCCACTTCCAATGCCACTCTCTGCTATGTCCTGGGAAAGCAGTGGAGGATGGCCCAGGTCCTCAGGTCTCTTTACCCACGTGGGAGACCTGGAAGAAGCTCCTGGCTTGAGATCAACATAGCTCCGGCTGTTGCAGCCATCTGGGGAGTGAACTAGCAGATGGAAGATCTCTCTCTCTCTCTCTCTCTCTCTCTCTCTCTCTCTCTCTCTCTCTCCCCCCTCCCCCCTCTCCCCTCTCCCCTCTCCCCTCTCCTCCTCTCCTCCTCTCCTCCTCTCCTCCTCTCCTCCTCTCCTCCTCTCCTCCTCTCCCCCTCTCCCCCTCTCCCCCTCTCCCCCTCCCTCCCTCTGCCTCTGCCTCTCTGTGACTCTGCCTTTCAAATAAATAAATAAATCTTTTAAAAAAAGAAATTATAAGCAGAAATATTCCAAATCATGCCAACAGCAGTGAGAACAAGAGATAAATTTCAATCAGAAGTAATTAATACATTCCCAGAGTGTTATTCGTACAAAGTGAATCATGTGAACACATTGGACAAAGGCTGAAATTTCTTGATTGAAATTTTTATTCATTTGCAGCACCCAAAAGAACTTAAAGTTCATGCTAAATTCAAAGAATGTTTAAGATTAGCCACAGCACTAGAAAACCTGAATACTGTGGAGTGTTTTTTTTTTTTTAATTAAAGATTTATTTATTTATTTGAAAGGCAGAGTCACAGAGAGTCAGAGTCAGAGAGAGAGAGAGAGAGAGAGAGATCTTCCATTCGCTGGTTCACTCCCCAGATGGCTGCAACAGCCGGAGCTGTGCTGATCTGAAGTCAGGAGCAAGGAGATTTTCTGGATTTCCCACACGGGTGCAGGGGCCCAGGCAGTTGGGCCATCTTCCACTGCTTTCCCAGGCCATAGCAGAGAGCTGGATCGGAAGTGCAGCAGCCAGGACTCGGTCCTGCACCCATGTGGGATGCTGGCACTGCAGGCGGCGGCCTTACCTGCTACGCCACAGTGTTGGCCCCTACTGTGTAGTTTTACCACTTACATAGAAAAGAGGTTTTCCTAAATTTAAGTGATTCTAAAAATGCACTTTACAATACCAATCATAAGTTGTGAAAATGAAACATTTTTTAGGCTACCATAATAAAAATATTGACCAGTCATGCTAGAAGAAAAACCAAATCAACCTTTTCTCATAGAGAATAGTATAGAATTGTGGACATAGAATTGTGAAGAAGTGATCAAAGATTATGTACTCAAAATATGAAGGTAAAATAGTTCTGTAGGGGCATGTCTAGGGATTAATTAATAAACGTACTTTTTCTGGATTCTGTGGTATTTTTCTGTTTGGTTAAATTTGTGATTTTTTTACGATTAGTTTTCTCATTCTAAATGAATATTCTGTTTGGTTCCTAATTTTATACGAAAGTTTTATGCTTTTTTTTTTTTTTAAGTGAATACTCCACATTCGGTAAGTTCCAGATCTCATAAAACCTGGGTCACTACCTATTTATTACCCATGAATGCCTGGGCTCTGGGCTATGCATGATTAGCACCTGCCCGAGGGTGTACATCATCTTTAGCATTTGTTATAGACTGGTGCCTTCTTGTTATCCTTGTTTTTTAACGAATGCCCTCACTTTACGAATAGCTCAGTCAGGCCTTAAGTTTTTTTTTTTTTTTAATCCAGCTTAATAAACCAAAGTATCTGTGGGTTCTGCATGTACAGATTCAACCAGTCATACATCAAAATATAGCTAGGCTTACAGTGGTGGTGGTTGTCTATACTGAACACTTTAAGACTTTCTATCAACATTCCCTAAATATTACATCATAACAGCAGTTTCCCTGGAAGTTGTATTAGATATTACAGGTAACCGCGAGGTGATTTAAAGTGTACGGGAAAATGTGTAGGTTACATATAGATGCTACACCATCTTATATATGGGACTTGAACACCTGTGAGTTTTGGTATCTGGTGGGATAGAGTCGAGTGTCCTGGAACCCGTCCTTTGTGCTTTCTGGAAGGGATGTTTCTGAATATCTAGTCTTCTGTAAATCCCCATTTACTTAAAAAATATAAAGTTTTGTCGATCCCCCCTCCCTTAGAAAAGACTGTAGGGATTTTGAGTGTTCCATTATAGTCACACTTTAGATGAAAAATTGATGTATTTAAGAATGGCTGGCTTTCAATACCAAGTCATCGTGTCTGGAACATGATCTGCTCTTCATTTATTCATGTGTTGTTTTTTTTTTTCTTCTGTTTCTCAGTTGAGTTTGGTAGTTGGCACATCACCCTACTCCTGTCACACCCCTGCCCCAGACCCCACACACAGTCACACAAGGCCCACACATTCCTTGTTAAGGGAATTCTTAGACATCTTGTAATTTTCATTGCCAAAAGTGTTTAACAAGAGTAACTGTACATTGATGGCATGTAGAAAATCCTAAATTTTTGTATGATATAATGCTATGTACATGTCTGTGTTTGTTTTATTACTAGCTACCTTGTTGAGCTCTATTAGGTTTTCTAGGTAGGCAATCCTATCAGAAGAAAAATTGTCTTATTTTTACCTTTGTAAGAGCTCTATATATTATTTTTATTTTACTTCCTTTTCTAGCTTCAACAGTCCAGTGTTATTAGTACTTATTTTTCAAAAAAGATTTATTTATTTATTTGAAACTCAGAGAGAGAGAGAAGGAGAGGCAGAGATAGTGAGAAAGGTCTTCGAGCCACTGGTTCACTCCCCAGTTGGCTGCAACGGCCGGAGCTGCGCCCATCTGAAGCCAGGAGCCAGGAGCTTCTTTTGGGTCTCCCACGTGGGTGCAGGGGACCAAGGACTTGGGCCGTCTTCCACTGCTTTCCCAGGCAACAGCAGAGAGCTGGATCAGAAGAGAAGCAGCCGTATCTCAAACCGGTGCCTAGAACTCATTTTTAATAATGAGTTACTGACTTTAATGTTACTGACTTTACTGTGGATACCCCTAGTGTCTCATGGATAAATTAGGTGTTAGCTAATTGTTGATGGAGTGAGTTTAGGCTTTGATTTTGTTTTTCTAAGATTTATTTTATTTGAAAGGCAAAGTGACTAGGGGGTGGGGAGAGAATATCTTCCATTCACTGGTTCACACCCCCAAAAGGCCACAATGGCCCAGGCTGGGCCAGGCTGGAGCCAGAAAACTAAAACTCCATATGGGTCTCCCACGTGGAAGCCAAGGCCTGATCATCTACTGCTTTCCCAGCACATTAGCAGGAAGCTGGATCACAAGTGGAGCTGGGACTCAAACCAGTGCTCCCATGGACTGCTAGCATCACAGGCAGTGACTTAACCTGCTACACCACCATGCTGGCCCCTGGATTTTTTTTTTTTCATTGTTGTTTTGTTTTTTAATATTAGAGAACTGATCCTCTTCCTAGTTTTCTGTGAGTTTTCCTAAAAATAGTGTTGGTCCTTGTTGAAGGAATATTATTTTGTGGGTCTTCCTCCTATAGGCCCACACTCTGAGTCTGTGATGTGTGTGGCATACGTGGACCTGTAGCACGGAAATACAGACTCCTGAGGATCGTCTAGGCTCTCCATGCTCCAGGGAGCTGGAGATGTGAAATTCAGACCGTGTGTTAGCAAGGAAATTTTACAGCCTATGTAGTTCATCTGGGTGAGTTGTAATAAAATGTTGATCAGCTCAGTCCCACAGTTCATTAAAAAACAGTCCCTCTCTCATGAGACTTTGTTATGTTCAGAAGCTCAGGCTTGCCTGCTGAAGGTAGCTTGCTGTCTTCTTGCTTCCCAGTGACGCCAATGCCCCCTTTGCCCAGTGGAGCACAGAGCGAGTATGTGCGTGGCTGGAGGACTTCGGCCTGGCTCAGTATGTGATCTTTGCCAGGCAGTGGGTGACTTCTGGCCATACACTACTGACAGCCACGCCTCAGGATATGGAAAAGGTAAGGGCTGAGCTTGGGTGAGAAGGTCCCCATTCTCCCCAGACCAGTGCATGGGGAGGTGAGGGTCCCTCTCCACCACATACAAGGGCTTGGACAGAGGGAGAGGAGACTGAGAGAGCCCCAGAACTGAAGGTTGACCTCCTGGGACTTTGTGCAGAGGTGCACTGTCACCCTGTCCCAGCATCTCCACTGAGCCACAGCATCTGCTCAGGGCCAACTTACCTGCCAAAGTTCTACCTGTGGTCTTCTTGCTCTAATTTCAGGAGCTAGGAATTAAGCACCCACTTCACAGAAAGAAACTGGTTTTGGCAGTGAAAGCCATCAACACCAAGCAGGAGGAGAAGTCTGCGCTGCTAGACCACATCTGGGTGACACGTAAGGACAGGCATATGTGTATTAAGTAGGTTTCTGGCAGTTCCCAATGTAAAGTCTTTCACTGTTGAATGTATTCAAGCCAGGTTTTTTGTTATGAAAGTCAGCTGATTACTAAACCTTTTGGGGAACAGAAGTAAACTTCAAAATGATGCTTGGCTAGGTTTTTTGTTTTTGGTTTTTTTTGTGTGTGGTTTTTCTGGTGATGGAATCAGGATGGGAGCACAAGGCATCCGCATTCTGCTATTCTTATGAGTCCTGATTTTGCAGGGTGGCTTGATGACATAGGCTTACCCCAGTACAAGGACCAGTTTCATGAATCCAGAGTTGATGGACGAATGCTGCAATATCTAACTGTGGTGAGGATTTTTTCTGTAAATATTTCCATTGTTCCTGTGAGAACTCAGTTCAGTTGTAACTGTGGTGGTGCTTCAAACTCAACTCAACCTCCTCCCTCATATTCTTACAGCCTTGAATTTATATCATTTGTCATGTAAGAGGTCCCCAGCAACAGAATAGAAATCTTTGTGATGAGAAAGTGTTTGGTGTGTCCATGTGCACTTTCCTGAATGAGTAACTATATGCCCTCATTTGTTCAACCTAAAGTTAACCAGAAAATGAGGGAGTCAACGCGATAACATGATTCTGCATTCAGACTTGCTGTGTTTGGTTTGGGAAAGACCTTCCCACTGGCAACTTTGCTTCACCAGCCAAACTTTCTCTTCCAGAATGATCTACTCTTCTTAAAAGTCACCAGCCAGCTACATCATCTCAGCATCAAGTGTGCCATTCACGTGCTGCATGTCAACAAGTTCAACCCGCACTGCCTGCACCGGCGACCAGCGGATGAGGTGAGGGCTGGCTGGCCTTTATCCAGGTAGCCCTGAGCCAGGACACCTACAGTATGCTATGTGAGGCAGCAAGGGTAGCGTCCTCACAAAATGGCTTCACGTTGGACCTCAGCACATGGGATTCTTTCCTGTGCTAGACTCCCTTGGATGCATGTCCTTTGTGTCTCCTAGCAGCTCCTAGACTTCCTGGCTGCCACCCTCTCTTGGGGAGACACATACTGTGGGCTGGCTAGCAGACAGTAGCAACAGGTCTGTCAAAGTCATCACAATGATTAAAGAAGTTGGGGGAATGGTGCCAAGGAGAGGGAAACGCAAAGTCAGTGGAAAGTTGAGTGTCGAGGTGGACGTAGGAGGGGAGAGCCAGAAGAGAGTGAGGGGAGAGGGGCCAGTAAGGAGCCAGGCACTTCACAGTAGGTTTCCTTATCTGTAGGTACAAGAGTAACTGACCTACAGGCCAGGTACACAGGCCCTCTGTAACTCTGCCTTTCAAAAAAATAAATAAATCTTTAAAAAAAAAAAAAAAGATGAACTCAGCTTCCTAAGGGATTAAAAATGCCTGCCTCTGCCCACCATCTCCTGTTTCTCCCTGTTCATCAAATCTGTGTTGAATGCCTTGTGTGTGTCCAGCACAGTGCTGAGCGTGTTGATACTAATGTGTGCTCCCTCACACATTTGGCCACACCAGGGAGATCTTTTACAAATGTGCAAACAACTCAGTTCATAATTAACCATCATCTTTAGAGTTCTGTTGTCTCATTGAATGACTGAGTTGTTTGCCTTCCTTTATTTGTCTCAAAGTTAACCAGAAATTGAGAGAGAAATAAGATTCTGGATTCAGAAATCTCAGTAAGGAAGATCCCACAGGATTCAGTGAGAACTCTCTCCCTTGGGCCCAGGGAAGGCTCTCAGGCTGGTGATCTGGCTGCCCTGGGTCACTGGGCATAGGGGTCTTTTATTCTGGTGAGACATCCGGGGGTGACTCCACAGGAGACCATTGGTGAGACCTTGTGAAGCCTAACTTTCTTCTCCTTATCCCTCTCACAGAGTAACCTTTCTCCTTCAGAAGTGGTGCAGTGGTCCAACCACAGGGTGATGGAGTGGTTGCGATCAGTGGACCTGGCGGAGTATGCCCCCAACCTTCGAGGGAGTGGCGTCCATGGAGGTCTCATTGTGAGTGGCTCTTTGGGCATGCCCATCCGCCCTGGTGTTCGTGGGAGTCTTCGGAAACTCAGTTCTAAAGGACCAGATAGAAATTCCATGCGGGTTATCTGAAACCCTTGTATATTTCAGAGTCTCAGAGTGTTTGATAATTTGTGGTTGAGAATTAATACACCTTGTGGAAACAAGATGGCTTGTGGAGGGATTTCCAAAGCAAGAGACCTAGAGGATTCCACCACAGTGGGGTTGCAGGAGGATTAACCCTTAACCAAGGCAGCTCCACCTGGTCCCAGAGGCACACGGGGGCTGGGGATGTAAGGGACAGGCCATCAAAATAGAACTTCCTGCTTGCCCTGAGATGGTCTCTTATTACCACTCAGGTCTGTCAAGTGGCAGAGCCAGGGGGAAATGAGGGAGGGTGGCTTGGTGTCATGCAGAGAAGACTCTGGGAGGTAGCATTTATCCGAGAGAGCCCCATTCTGTGCCGGCCTGGGAACACGAGTTGGCCAGTCAACAAATGGACTGATGCCTGCTCAGAGCCAGCCTTGGTGCCTGATAGACAGAGGGAATGGGGCAGAGAGGAGGTGGAGGAGCTGTAGCCCTGCTCCCGATTGCCCAGTGTCACCCACTAGTGCTGTCCACAAACGGTCGCCACGGCCAAGTTTCTCTCATGTTTCTTTTTAGATCCTGGAGCCACGTTTCACAGGGGACACTCTGGCTATGCTTCTGAATATCCCTCCACAAAAGACGCTTCTCAGGCGCCACCTGACCACCAAATTCAATGCCCTGATCAGTCCCGAAGCTGAACAGGAAAAGCGTGAGAAAATAGCCTCCCCGGCTTACACACCGCTGACCACCACAGCCAAAGTCCGGGTGAGTTGTGAGACCCTTTCTGGGAAGCCCTGGCAGCCTGCCTTCTGGTCTTCATGTTGGACAGCTGCTGGCCTGACATCGGGAGCCACACCAGCAGGCGCGGCCTGGACTAGGGGCAGCCTCAGCTTCTGCTGCAGGTCCCCCTATCTTTGAGTCCAAGGAAGACAGTGCTGGTTTCTTTGCACAGAAACCACGTGAAGGCAGCATCGGCTCATAGGTGGCTGGGAGCTCATCCGTCACATCAGTGTTGCTGGGGTTTATCTTGCAAAGTCCGGGTGCCCTTCAGTGCCTCCTGTCAGCGTGCTCCAATGCTGTGGGCTCTTGGTCTCGCTTGTCTTGTTCTGTGAGCTGGTCAACATGCAGCTGTGCAGAGGTCTCCAGGTCATCCAAGTGCCCCTGCCTAGCCTACCTTGTTCTAATGCCATGTCCTTTTCTGACCACAGGCCTACACACACAGTCTCTGGAGGCCAGGCTGGGCCTGCCCCTGGTAGCATGTTGGCACTGCAGGGCCAGCTATGTCTCATAACCAGACATCCTTCCTAGGAGAACAGGACAGCAAGTGACTGAGGAGTGAAACCAGACAGTGCTGGGCAAACTTAGGAAAGGCGAAAAGCCAAGCTGGGGCCATCCAGCGCGGCTCTCGAGGGCACAGGTGCATGGAGGGGAAGCAAGTGCTCCCCTGTGTGGTGAGGCAAGTGCTCTTGCTCAGCACGAGTACCGACCGTGACACTCTGCAGGGACTCCTCGTCCATCTGTTGGGCAGCAGGGCATGAGTATCAGGCACAGGGGCTTGGAGGAGCCTTTCCCCAGCACAGAGGCTGCCTATAGGAGTTCTGTTCTGTTCTTCTAGAAGCAGCTTGGCTTATTCCTTTCTTCTGGGCCCACTTTTAAATAACACCATCGGTCATCTCTGCACACTGCCTTGGTAATCTGCTTCTCAAAATCTTGCATTTGTTCTGTTTCAGCCAAAGAAACTAGGATTTTCACATTTTGGAAACATAAGAAAAAAGAAGTTTGATGAATCAACAGACTACATTTGCCCAATGGAGCCCAGTGTTGGCGTTGGTGACAGTCACAGAGTCTACGGTGGCTACCGGGGCCTCAGTCCCCTTGATTCCCCTGAACTGGATGGGCTGGACCAGGTGGGACAGATTAGTTGATGCCCTTGTCACCTGCCCGTGTGCACCCTGAGAGCTCACAGTAACACTGCGTGTGTCACATGTAACTGCACCTCACCCCCTGCACACGTGCATGACTTGCAGAGAACATTCCAGCAATCGCATCCCCCCGGATAAGACTCTCTTCCGGCCCCGAGGGTGGCCAGACTCTGGAGTTACACCTCTGCAAAGGAGCCAGGCTCCTTTGGGGACTGCCACCAAAGGTGGATCAGGAGGAAAGGCTCCTAAAGATGCTTTTACAGACGTTTTTAGTAATTCTTAATGCCCGTCTCCAGCACCAGTGGAAACACGTGAACTCGGACCCAGGTTCAGAGACCATGGACAACCCCAAGGGGCTCAACCCTCAGGCTCCTCCCCTGTGCTTTTGTTGAGGGAAAAGTTCAAGTGCCTTAGGCCTGTGGGTCACAGAGTCTTGGCCAAGGTCGAAGGAACAAGCAGCAGGGATTTCTGCCGCAGTGACAGTGTAATTGTGTTGTGCCTTATGACAGAGGTGGTCGCTTCCTTCTGGTAATAAAAACAATATTTATGTAGAAAGTAAACAGTGCCACATACCCTTAATCTGGTTGGGGGAAGAAAGCTGGGTGTGTCTGCAGAAGGATTCTTACTGATCACACAGCTTGAGAGCCAATGGCATCAAACATAGTCCTTGGCCAGGGGCATACTCAGAATTTTCCGGAGGTGGGGGCATGGATAGAGTGAAGAGCCCCCCCAACACACCTTGCATCCTTCAGAGTTCTGGGGCCCAATGCCTCAGGCACTCCCTCCCTCCCTGAAGCAGAGGGGAGCCTCGAGTCTGACACAAGCCTGACTGCAGGGCGCCTCTGTCCTGTGTCAGCCATGTGGGTGATGGGTGGTGGGGGAGAGAGGGCGGCTGTGCCGGGCTCTGGTCTTTGCTGGGCTTTGCCAGCTTTCCGTAACTCTGCAGCCGCTGATCCGTCGCTGCTGGGTCCGGTCTGTCCTCTTAATTTAGAGGCTGCCTTGCTGATAATGGGTCCTCCAGATGGGCCCTGTCTGGCTAGGGACTGACGGAGAGATACACCGTGCCAGTCTGGGCTTCTGCACTTTGGATTCCAGTTTGCCCCAGGGAGGCTTTTGGCTTCCCCAGTTCCTCTGGGCCTCATCTGTGAAAGAATAACGGCGTCATAATTGTCTAGATGGCGAGACAGGGCCTGGTGACCTCACCGTGGCACTCCGATTCTATCCCAGAAGGATCTGTGCTGAGATTTCATTCTTGAGCTATCAGCAGCCTGGGGCCTGACCTGGTCCTACAGGCTGCCACCTCCCCTGAAGTCCAGCTGCTGAGAGATGTGGACACAGGCTCAGCAGCTGGCATCTCTGCTGTCTGATCCTGGTACCCAGGGCCAATGAGCAACGTGCTCCTCAGGGCTGGTCCCTGGCCTGGCCACGGTAGTCGGAGAGCCAGCCGGGATGGGCTTTGTCCCTTACTTTCCATGTCCTGGTGAGAGAGTCTGTGCATGTGCCTGTTTGCAAACCCTGCATGGAATTGTTTGGCCACGAGTTCTCTGCGCTGCCCTGAGCACGTCGTGTTTCTGTGGACCTCAATTTTCCCACCTCTAAAACAAGGGGTTATAGTTGGTCCTCGAAATCTACAGGGGATGCTTCCAAATCTCCAGTGTCTAAGTGCGTTTGGGGAAGAAGGAGCAGGCATACAGGAGGCGAGAGGCGCCCCCATGAGCAGCTTCCTGAGAATGCCCACCCATGCCAGTGTCTGGGCACCGGTGTCTGGAATCCTGTTGGTACCCAGGAACTGACAGCCTGTTCAGCATCCTGAAAGCCTTCGTCCCCACTGCTCTCTGCTCCTGGAAATAGCTGGGACCCTGAATATTAGCAGAAGAGCTGCTTTTGACAGGCCTGGGCCCTGCCTCTCTGTATCAAGTGCTGGCGACAAGTGGAGCCCAAGGAGAGAGAGTGCATGCAGGATGCTGGGTGCCTTTCCCCAGGGACAGAAGCAGCATGTGCCCCACCCACCCGTTACTCGTCGGGGCCTGGCACCCTTCTTGCCCGTCCCTCCAGGGAAGCATGCCTTGGAGAAGCCAGGCCCCGGCAGGACTGGACTTGCATGCTATCTCTGAATCGCAAGCTGGCTCGATGGCGCTGACCAGCCTGTGCCCATTTTACAGATGGCACCTTCGGAAGGCACTGTGACGCAGATAGGGCTCCTCTCCCAAGACATTCACCGCCTTACGGTAGGACCGTCACCCTCTCCCTGCAATAGGACTAGGGCGCACGGCTGTGGGCAGTGAGGTTGGTGTGGCGGTGCCACGGCGTGGGGAGAGCACAGGATGGTGCTGGGCGCTGGGATCAGAGCCTGCGCCTGAGCCGGTCATGAGGCAGAAAGCAGCCCAGTGGCCCTCTGTGCTGGCCTGGTACTGGGCTGGAGAAGAAGCCGGCTAAGCGTGCCGCGTCTCGGGTCCTCGCCACAGTCTCAGAGCTTTGAGGAAACCCAGGTGCTCGGAAGCTCTGGATCACTGGCCAGTCAGCCCAAAGCCAGGCCTGCACTCTGGCCTAGCGGTTACTGCCCAGCCCCCTTCCCATGAGATGCGCCTTTCCTCTCACGTCACTGGCTTCATGGAGATCACAGGCATGTGGGTGCATCCTGGTGTGGTCGAGAGAGCAGACCATGCCAGGGGCGCAGCTTGGGCTCGGAGGAAGAGCAGTAGGTTAGAGGGAAGCAGACCTGGTTCAAGCCCCTGCTCTGATTTTCAGTAGCTCTGGGACCTTGCCTGTGTGTGTCTCGCTCCCTCTTTCTGAGCCGTGGCATAGTTTCCCATAAAGCAGGCAAATAATATCCTCCTGGTAATGCTTATAGGCAGACCCAGGCTGGCAGTGATGTGTGTTTGAGGCCCCCTAACTTCCCAGGGCCCTTTTATCCCTGGAGGTCCCATCACTGAGCCCATCGGCTGCATCATCTGGTCTGTACATATGGAAGCCCCATCTCCACTCTTTGCTGGCTGCTGTGCTAAGGAACATTGAGCCTATATCAAAGCCAGCACAGGAGTGGCCCTGAACCCAAGCAAGATCATTTGTATTCAATTTATTTCTGACTCACACACTGAAATGAATCTGTCTACCTTGTGCCCTTAGAGTCTTTAACAGGTTTTTGGTGACCTTGAAATAGCAACTTTACCTCTAAGACAAGCTGTTTATCTTGATAGTAGTATCTATTCTGACCTAATACCAGGGTCCCTGAGACGCCATGACCTGACAGTTACCACTGTCAGAGACCACACCCAGTGCCCTCTGCTTCCCAATGGCTGCCCCCTGAACAGCCGTGACCAAAACCCTGTTAAACTGCGCCTTTGGCTGTGTCCTTTCAGACCCTGCTGAGCCAGGACCAGCTGCTGAACGACTCTCGCCTGGCTGCTCCGGACTCTGATGAGTGGAGATGACGTTCCTCGTGGCCGAGAGCCCAGAGAGGCACGTGCAGGGCCCCGCGTCTTGGCTTCAGTGGGAGCTGGCGCGCGGCCACCCGTAGAGCCTCGAAGTTGCAGGCTGGGCCTCTCAGACGGGGTGTCCACAGGAGCGAAGCAGAGCTGTGGACAGGTGTCCAGGAGGTGCCCCCGTGCCCCTGTGTGTTTTCAGTTGTGCTGTGCCCCTCACTGCAGCTTTTATACCTTTTGTACTTTTCTATGTGGACCACAGCGCACTTCTGAAGGGAGAGCAGTGAGCTGTCAACACAGACTCAATGGCTTCTTCTGTTCCCAGGGACAGCCGGGAGGCCCTCACACCAAAGGGGAGGAAGTGTGAGTTCATAAAGCCTCTGCCGGAAACAGGCATTCTGATGTCCTGCAGTGACTGCTGGGTGAAATAACGGGGACCTTCGGGGCTGCTTCCCACGGGGGTGTGTTTGCATTCAGAGCTCTGGCCATGTCGGGGTATTCAGGGTGAGAGCAGGCCAAGAGCACTGTGATTCCTTTCCTGCCGCTTTGGCTGCTCTCCAGCTACCCGCATCTGCAGTGTGTGTGTGCATCCCCAATGCACACGTGCACACAGCTGGCACACACAGCACACCCAGTTTCCCAGGCCTTCCCTCAGCAGCTGCAGGTGTAATGTCTGGTTTAACAGCTCCCCCTAGTGGGAGGCCCTTGGTGATCCTAAATGCAACACATTTCCATAGCAATTCAGCATCTTCCCAAACAAGCCTGTTGCTTCTCCAGAGTCCCCAGAGAGTTCCCTCCCCTGCCTCTCCCCCCACCCTCTAGGTCCGGTGTCCTCTCTCACTGGATCACTGCAGCTGGTCTCCGTGCCCCCCAACCCCACATTGGTCAGCGCTGTTCTCACCAGGGGGCCTCCCCACAGCACTGCTGGATGCCGGTTGTCTTTCTGCTCAGAACTCCTCAGTTGCAGAATCACCAGAGATAGAGGCCAGGCCCTGTATAGCTTCTCTTTCGGGAGGCCTGCATGCATGTTCTAGTTGAAGGTCGACTGTGTGACAGTGCTGCGTCTGCCCTTGAGCCTGTGCACATCACAGGTCACCTTGAAGTGAGGCATGGTCATTCCATGTCCACCCTCAGCACCAACTCGCTGAGTCCCCGCTGTGGGCTGGCCCAGTCCTGGTCCTCAACCTGCTCAGGAGGTCCACGCTCCTAGGGCCCCACCCACTCCTTCCCAGGTGTGCTAAGTACCTTCCACTCCTGGAAAGGCTGGGGAGGGGCCGGAGATACAGGCATGAATGCCACAGTCCCTGCCTCGGGTGCTTCCAGGGGCGCACAGGCCTCAGGTGCTTCCAGGGTGTGTGCTGAATGTGACAGATGCTCTAATAGATGTCTCTGCGGCCCAAAGGAGCAAGTTGTCATGTTTAAGGGGGTCTGGGGTAGGAGTCTGAGAGGCTCTACGGAAGAGTGACACTTGGATTGTGCATGCTAAGCATGCTTCCCCAGGTATGCCAGAGGGGCAGGGCCTCCAGGCAGATGGACTTGCCCCCCGCACCCAGCAACTGTCAGCAGTTGGTGAGACTAGAGCAGGGTTCCTCAGCCTCTGCGCGCCCGTCATTTGGGCTGCGTAACTCAGTGAAGGAGGCGGTGTAGCCTTGGTCCTCACCTTCTAGATGCTAGCAGCAACCCTCTTCTAGCTGTGACAGCCCAAGTGTCTCCAGTTTTTGTCAGATGTTCCCTGGAGAGACAAAACTCCCCCCATTTGAGAACCACTTCGCTAGAGAAAGGGATGAGAATGGGGGGCTCAGGGAAGAGGAGAATCTGCTGAGGTGAGCAGGAGCCAGATCCAGAAAGGCCACATAAGCCAGGCCCCTGGGCCGTGTCCTGGAGATGGATCAGAGTGAACGCAGCGAGAGTTTAAGCAAATGGCAAGCGTGCTCAGATTTGCATTTCAGAAAACATCTGAGGGCAGGATCTGCCCTGAGGAGGCACCGAACAGGTGGGGAGGTGAAAGCTGGCTGCCCCTGCCCTCCCACAGGCTGTGTGTGAGACCATCCCTGTGTTTGGCTACCGTGGGCAAGACACGCTCTCCTGCAGAGAGCTTCCTACAGCTCTGCCTACAGACAGACAGACAGACACACACACACAGTAAAATAAAGCCAGTGACACCAAGTTCACATTGCTGCTGTTAGGCCAGTTTTTGTGAACAGGCCAATGACCTGGAATGAAGCAGACTCAGGCTTAAGCCAGCTCTGCCACCTGCTGGCTGAATGAGCAAATTCCCCACAGATTCTGGCTTGTCAGGATTCTGAACTCACAGGTGGAGGGCAGCCGTGTCCTCTGGCCAAGAACAGCAGATAGCAATAGCGGTCACCTCTATCATTTGGGCTTAGCTATTAGGAAGGATTTATGGCACATGTTTTTGGAGCTAACTGTAAATTGAGAAGCTTCCATATTAACCACTCCCATCTCTACCCTGGCCTTCCAGGACACAGCCTGCACTTTGAGGATGTTAAAAAAATGCACTCTTTGCATCCATCATCCCTGCAACGTGTAGGGAGTCTGGAATGGATCCTGAAGCCCACCTACCCTGTGCATTCGCTGCCCTGATGTGTGTTTCAAACCCATCCCCATCCCAAGGGTCTCCCACAACCAAAGGAAGTGTGTCCATGGAGGGTGTCCGAGTCCTCTACTACGTATGACAATAAAAGCAGAGTACCTTGGAGCCAGGAAGTTCGAGAGAGGTGATTAGGAGTTGATGGAGCCCCACTTGGATTCTTCTGGAATTCTGCTGTAACACTGGTGCCAGTTCTGACCCCCTCCTTGGCCTGTAGGAGCCAATTCCCAGGCAGAGCAGGCCAAGGCCTCCTGATGGCCTAGCAGGTCCTCCACAGAGCCAGTGCCTCGTGGACTACCTGCTATGTGCTTAAGTTTATTTCACTAAACCATGGAGAAAGATACAGAAACAGAGCTCCTCCCAGCCTCCACACAAGGAGGCCTCAGATGACGCTTTGCTTCCAGCCCTTTGAACCTATCTTGAGGAGAGCCGGCGTGTGTGCCCAAGGGGGAATGCCAAGGCATTTCTGAAAACGTCTCAGATTAACGTGGTGAAGCCAGCCTCGCTGCGAAGCGGATGAAAGGGGCCCGACAAGTGTGGGAAGGGCGCAGGGAGCATTAGTAGGTAAAGATCATGTCCTTGGTATAACCCAGCTTCTCCAAGTTGGGATGAGCGGCTGTCTGGATCAGAGGTGGCGGGCCACACACCAGGATGAGCGTGTACTTCCCAGGAGCGGGGAGGTGCTCCTTGATCATGTCAGCAGTAACATAGCCCGAGCTGTACTTCCAGCCTGAAAGGAAGCAGGAAAAGGCTGTGGGTGCCCGGTCAAGTCCCTGACTGCGACTTCCTGCCGCCCACCCCCTGCCCCCCAACTTTGCTTCCTTGCTCAACCAGGCAGGAGGCACTGTTGATTTACAAAGTTTTAGAAGTAGTGGCATTGCTGTTTCTCAGTCCAAGAAGTAGAGGATGTGAGGCATGAGGGTCTCAGCCCTACCTGCAGCATTTACCCAACACCAGGCTCCCTGCTGGCACCAAGCCCCTGCTGGTGTCTGCCTGCTGTAAGTACTGCCAAGGCTGCTGAACTCAGTACCCCCAGTATCCATGGGGTGGAGGCACTCAGGGTAGTTTGTGGTGCTGCGGAACTGCCCGGTCAGGCAGAGCCCTCTTCTGGGCAGTGAGCTGGATGACGAGCCAGTGTGCGAGGGGAAGGGTGCACCTTGCACACGGGTATGGTGGTTGCTGGATGCTGGCGAGGGGCTGCAGCAGCTGTCCAGAGCTCAGCATGGGGGACTGCTGGCCACTGAGGTGCCTCATGAGGGGTGTGGTGGCATGAATGGTGGCGTGAGTGAAGGGTCCAGTGGTCCTATTGCATGCAGTGTGTGATGGCTGTGAGGGGTGGGTGTTCAGGGCAGCCCAGTGGCTCACTGTCTCTGCTGATGTTCAGTGCAATGGGTAGAATGCTGCTGATAGCAGATACCTCCCCTGACTGCCCTTATAAGCAGGTCATCCCAAATCCTCCCATCTCCCATGGGAAGCCAGAGCCCAGAGTTGCACACCACCACCCCCGCCCTGTCCTCAAAAACAAAACAACAGAAGCCAGTCCTTGAAGTTGCTCAAGGGCCAGAGCTGAGCCCTGAAGGTGACGGCAGTGGGAATCCCAGTACCAAGAGGCGGCCTGTCCAGGGTGTACCACAGGTTGAACTGGTCTAGATGAGTCCTGGAAATGTCTTCAAGCTCCTTTCTCACCAAGATATCCTCCTCTGTCTAGGAAAAAAAAGGAACACTAGTCAAGCTCCTCCAGGGGCAGCCTGTTTTGCTTCCCAGGCTGAGCGCACGACACAAGATGCCACCTCCTACCCACGCTGTCACCACTTTAGCCTGAGTGCTGGTTGCAGACTCCTGGGAAACCAGGGTTCAGGCAGCTGCTCTGCAGATCAAACCCTCTCTTGAGGATGGAGTTGTAGAGCTGTGGGCTGGCTTTGCCCAGAGGGCCCGATCCCCCCTCAAACATCCACACCGAGCTGCAGACGTGGCAAACCCAATGGGAACAGTTGCAGGCCTGGGGCCCTCCAGCAGACATGAACGGGGGTAGGGAAGCCACATGGTAGGACACCAGAGATCTGAAGGAGGCGGAAGACTTGTGGAGCTCAACTTGGAGAAAAGAGGACCAAAGCTAAAGTCACTCATCACAGGCTCAGAGCTAGTACACAGAGGACCTGGACCGCGCACCGCTTCAGGATTCCAGGCCCAATAATTCCACTCCTGGGGTTCTGTTTAAGAAAATCTAGCAGTAATCAAGACTAGGCACAAGTACTCATCACTACAATTTATATCTGTGAGAACTGAAAGTAACCAGAATGTAGGAGCTTTGGTCACTTAGAATGCATTGTGATAGAGACTATTAAGAAAATATTTACAAAGTGTTTTTTAAAAAAATTGCCTGTGTAGTAATGTTGAGTAAAATCAAAATCATCTATCAACAGTATAGATGAATATATATATGTATACATGCAAATACATTACATTTACAGAAAGAAGACAAGTAAGATATTTATGTTCTTCTGTATTCCCCAACATTTCCATGGAGGGCGTTTATGATTTTATACTGAGAGGAACATAGAAGTGCAGGTTAGGAAGGCGAGCTCAGTGCTCAGGGCTGGCCAGGGAGATGGAAGAGTTAAATAAAAACAAGCAGAAAAAATGAGCTTGCACTCAGCTTCCTCGGCTGCCAGTGGCTCGAGCTGAGCCCACAGAGGCCTCCCACAGCCGCAGGCACCCAAGCAGCGTGCGCTCAATCAATGGGAGAGGACTGAATGCAGAGCCCAGCTCAGCGAACATTCCATGC